ACTAAATGCGGTAAAAACCCTACACGAGGTTAAAGTTTGGTTGTGGTGCTAACATGTTTACACTCGGTGCAATAGTTAACTTAGTCGATACGAACAACTGAATAACAAAGAGCACTGGTCGCTCACTTACCAAATCTGTAGAGACAGGACAATCACCAGCAACTAGAGCCGCGTCTTTAATAAGAGAAGACTACAAGCGAATCCGGATCTCAGCGTTTGCAGATGAGAACAGCTCTCAGGTAAACAATAATCCTCCTTAGACACGTAAGTTATTGTTGTCGAGCGTCGCGTACACTGTTAATCCACACGTGACTCCAGCTGAGCTCTCACAGAGAGAAAAAGAAAACGAAACTTAACTGCAGCAAACTATAAAAGCAACACTTCACGCTTGTTTTGCCAACACAACGTGGCGTCTCTGTCGTCTAAACACTGTGACACTAATGAATATTAATGAAGTTGCACAATAGAGCGCGCTGATTGGTTTGAACCAAGCCTTACTCATGCATTAATGCATCACACTGTAAGACGTAATAAGACTCACTCTGGCACAGACGTCCAGTCTGCACGCTGGAATACACGCTATTATCTCAGCCGTGACGCAGCTTCAAAAATTCGTTTCAAACAGGAAGTACGAATTTGCTTAAAATAACGCAAAAACAACCAATTTACACTTTTTAGTGAAATATAGGTGTCCTAATAGTGTTTTTAGCAGTGTGGGACACATATACGACTGTCAACAGCTCAAAACATGTGTTTCGGTGTTTCGTGACCCTTTAAATTTTGTTTTTGCTATTTTATATTTTTGCCTAATTTAATTTGTTTGTTAAATTAATTTATTCATCTGTTGAATATTGTATGGGATTTCATCGTTAATTAGATTTTTTTTTTTTAAAGCATTACTATTTAGCTTTAGTGGCTGTAGTTCTCCAGAACACAGAGTGCTTCAGTCAGTTGGCAGAGCATTATTTCTGATTTTAAAGTCCAGCTTGTTTCCTTTCAATGTGTTTGAGTTCCGCTGGCAGCAAATGCTTTTGAATGCTTTTAGTTTTAGTTCAGAAAAGCCCCGCTGTTTGTAGTTCTCAATCTCACAGTGTATTTCACTCAGCTTGACTTTCCATTTTCACCATGACGAATTAAACACAATTAAATTCACAGGCCATTACATTAAATGAAACCCAAACAGTTTATAGTTGGAACTGCTGATTTTCAGCTCATTCAGTCCTACTATGACATTTAGGACATTTTATAATGTTTTAATTTATTTTTAACATAACCTCTGGCTGTGTGTGTGTGTGCGCGCGTGTGTGTGTGTGTGCGCGCGTGTGTGTGTAGGGCCGCGATATGTGGTGCAGATTGGAGACAAAGTGATGGACTATAATGAGGATTTCCGTCTGTTTCTGGCAACCCGTAACCCCAGCCCCTTCATCCCTCCTGACGCTGCGTCTGTCATCACTGAGGTCAACTTCACCACCACCAGAGCTGGACTCAGAGGACAGGTACATACACACACACATAAGCTTCACTCACCTGCACACACACACTACGCATACGCTTCATATAAAAACAAACACTACACATATACTTCTCATAGTCACACACACAGTCTTGCACACACACACAGATATACACTCTTGCACACATTACACATATACTTCTTAGTCACACACAGTCTTGCACACACACACAGATACACACTCTTGCACACACTACACATAAACTTCACAAAAGCACACACACACACACTACACAAACTTTACATACATGAACACACACACACATTTGCTTACACACACTACACATACACATAAGCTTTGCATACTTACACACACAGACACACACTACACATAAGCTTCACGTAAACACACACAGTCTTGCACACACACTACACATACATTTTCACATGCACACAGTCTTACACACAGTCTGTGTGTATGTGAAGCATATGTGTAGTGTGTGTCGGTGTGTGCAAAACTCTTGTGTGTGTTTATGCAAAGCTTATGTGTAATAAGCTTCACATAAACACACACACTCACACACACACACACACACACACACACACACACACACACACACACACACACACACACACACACACTCTTAAACACACTTCACATAAGCTTCACATACACACTTCATACATTGACACACTATCACACACATTGCACATTACCACATGCACACACACTCTCACATACTTCACACACATACATTCTTGTAAATATGCGTGCATGCAGACATCCAGTACGTACATACACACACACACACACACACACACACTAACACACACTACACATATACTTCTCATAGTCACACACACAGTCTTGCACACACACACAGATATACACTCTTGCACACATTACACATAAATTTCACAAAAGCACACACACACACAAACTTTACATACATGGACACACACACATTCGCTTACACACACTACACATACACATAAGCTTTGCATACTTACACACACAGACACACACTACATATAAGCTTCACATAAACACACACACTACACATACACATAAGCTTCTCAAACTTACACACACAGTCTTGCACACACACTCTTACACACACTACACATACATTTCACATGCACACAGTCTTACACACAGTCTGTGTGTATGTGAAGCATTTGTGTAGTGTGTGTAAGAGTGTGTCGGTGTGTGCAAAACTCTGTGTGTGTTTATGCAAAGCTTATCCATAATACGCTTCACATAAACACACACACACACACTCTTAAACACACTACACATAAGCTTCACATACACATTTCATACATTGACACACTATCACACACATTGCACATTACCACATGCACACACACTCTCACATACTTCACACACATACATTCTTGTAAATATGCGTGCATGCAGACATCCAGTACGTACATACACACACACACACACACACACACACACACACACTCTCACACACATACACACACACACACACACACACACACACACACACACACATACACACACACACACAC